TCCTCCTGCGCTTGTGATGGAGTTTCAGCATGGACAGATATTTGTTCTTGACGTGAGCTGGGATAACTAGATTTTCCAAATCTCTCTTCTGAATCCTGGGGAGATCAGTTAGTCTGAGTTTTTGGAGCATCGCCTGCTTCATATCCTCATGGTCGAATCCCTGAGTGAATGAGATCACTGTGGTGCAAATGAGCAGCTGGATGAGCAGAGCCATGCTTGAAGTAGTGATGCCAGTGTCGCTCTCCTGATTGAATGACTGACTCTCTGAGTCTCTCAGGGTTTATATACAGTTGCCCCCACCCCGTCTGGCTCTTCACACCTCCAAAAAAGGGGAGACAACCTAAAAAAGACACCCTTCAAAGCCATGTCCCATTTAGACCACCTATTGTTGCTCATGACTTTTGGTTTTTCAAGTGTATCCTAAGTAGCCTATGTTCATTATATAATTTGTATCTATATATTTTTTAAATATAAAAAAAGTATATAAATTATTCTATCTATCTACCCCACCCCGTCTAGCTCTTCACACCTCTAACAAAGGGGAGACAACCTAAAAAAGGCACCCTTCAAAGCCATGACCCATTTAGACCACCTATTGTTGCTCATTACTTTATTTTTTCAAATGCATCCTAAGTCTGTTCATTATATATTTTTTAAAATTTTTTATTTGATTTTTTTTATATAAATTATATTAGTTATATATTTTTGTATATATACATATAAAATATAACGATGTGGAATTTGACATTTATTTATCAGATTTATCAGCAAATGTATACATTTATTTATACATTTATTCAAAATAATTTTATTTTCAAAATCAGTTCTAATTTCAAAGCAATTTTTACATTATTTATGATTGTTAAGTATGTTCAGGTCATTATATATTTTTATGTATTAAACAATTATAATATTAAATGTAATTTATAATTGTAATGATACAATTATAATAAATTATATATATGTATGTATTTATATTTATGTAATTATACATTTATTTATCAGTTTAATCTATTTCAAACCATTTCACAATATGATTTACTTTTATTTTATTAATTTATTTGATTAATTTTATTACATGCATCCTTTCTAAAGCAGAAATGAATGTTTTTGTGAATAAAATGTAGCTTTTATTGATTTATTCTGCAGCCAATAATTTTTTTTAATTGTGTGGATGTAATTAGTGCATGGTTCAACTTATTTGTTGCATTAATTTGCTTTGTTTCTGTCTATATTCCAGGTCGGACTCTTCTACTTTCCAGCTGTAACCATCTTTGGTAAAAACAGCAGTGTATTTGGCAGGGCAGAGGAGAGAGGAAAGTGTATTGAGAAATGGCCACCCCTGCTGTCATTTTTCCACAAACAGAGGCAGTGAATCCAGGAGTGTGTTCAGGGATGTGGATTGGAGGGAGTTTCTCAAGGGGGTGATTATCTGTTACTATTGCAGGACTGCTCAGACCTCTTCTGTCCTGCCAACACGGGACTAAAGTTACCCCAGTCTGTGTATTGTGTATTGGGGCCGCAGGTTGTCCTGGGGATGTCAGACAATGTCGGCACAGGAACGGCTGATGACGGATCACGTCACGTCAGACAGCTAAGCAAATTTACTTGCTACACAGCCACGTTTTCATGGTAATCGTGTTATTATCTGACGCTGTTTGTCAGGATGGGCAAGACCAGTATAATCCAATGTTTATGAATCAACATGGCTATTATTATTCTAAATGAAGTCAATAGCACTACAGATAAGCCACATTTTCTCTAACATAAATTGAAGAACTAAAATTCATGCAGAGCTTGAAACCTTTATATTTTACTCAAAAAAATTACAATCTGAAAACCAAACTCGATATTTGAAAAACTGCAGCCATGTTTGTAGTCTGAGATGAAAAATAATAATAATAAAAAACTAACAATAAAACAGTTTAGCATTTAACAGGTTTTTTTTACATTATTTATGATTGCATTTATTATTTTAAAGTTATTTATTTGATATTTCTAAAGTGTTTTTGTGGGGGAAAAAATTGCTTTTATTTAGTTATAGTGCAACTAATACAATTTTGTAAATGTAGCTGCTGTCCTATCGCTGACATGAGAATTTTTAAAAGTCATAAGAATTTGTCGTAAAGACTTAAAAATGCTAAATGTGTGCGTTTACACTGTTGTATCTCTGTCTAATCCTTCAGCTGCTCCTTAAAAAAAGTCTTCTTGATTAAAGACAGTGGCAGTTTGACATTTGACAAATGAATAAACATAGAAAGAAAATCATTTATAGTAACAGTTAAAAAATGTATGTAGATAAATATTAATGTATTTAATGCCCCAGATTAATTTTAATAAATTCTTTATTTATTATATTATATAATTTATATTTTATTATTATATAAAATATTTTAATACATTTGAATAATTCCGATGTTTTAGTACATTTGAAATATTTCGAAATTTAAAAACCTCGGAAACCTAGTACTTTTTTTTCATTTTTTTATTATTAGTAGCAGTATTTTTATTTATTTATTTATTTAGTAGACCATTATATTTATTTCTGGGCTGTGCTAGTTAGTATAAGATATGATTAAATTATACTTAATTTAATAATACTTAGTTTCAGTTCATTGTATATTTTTAGTGGTAAATTCTTGACTAGTCCAGTTAAAACTGTATTGAGTGTAATGTTTTGAATACACACCATCATACCAAAAGATCTTAGGCCTGAGACTTTCAATGACTCATTAAGCCAAACTGTTATTTCTCGCTATAGACGGTTGTTTTGGAGGGTGGGGTTGCAGTTGACTTTCTTTGATTTCTCCATGCTGCAGATTCTAGCACATCAATTAATTAGATGATCTAGACTGAAAGTGATATTTCTCATTTTCTAATTGCATATGAAAAGGGATCAGAAGGATTAAACCAACAATAACACTCTCCTGATTTTAGCCCTTTTAATCAAGAGCCCCAATAAACACAAAAGGTGTTAATGATGAGCGTTAGAAGCTGTTCACTGAAACCAGCCCAGCTACACACATCAGTGGTTACTGCTATGATGGAGGGCTTTATTTGATCCACTATCAAGGCTAATAGAAATGAAATTAAGCTATTCAACTGTTAATACACAGTCTGCTTTGGTTTTCTTTGCTTGAAAATGCCAAAAACTGAATAAAAAGTTTATTCTGCGTCACAGTTTGCCATAAATTCTGTTCATTCATTTATTCTGAAGTAACTCTTCACAACTTATTTCCATGAATTTCATGCAGCCAAGTACACTCTAAAAATGCTGGGTTAAACACAACCCAGTGCTGGGTAAAATAGGGACAAATCCAGCAATTGGGCTGTTTTTTAAATGTTTAACCCAACCTTCTGGATAGTAACCCAACCGCTGGGTCAAAACAACCCAATCGCTGGGTTTGTCCCTATTTTACCCAGCACTGGGTTGAATTTTAACCCAGCATTTTTCAGAGTGTAGTAAATGAGTCACTGAAATGACCAGCAGGTGATGCTGCTTTACCATGTCTTTGCAGGAAAGTCATCTAAAACTGTCTGGATGGGTTTTTTCAGCCCTAAGGGGGAGCTCTGGCATTTGTAGAATTGACCAAAATGTAGTACTGCACAATTACATGCAGCATCACATTAGTTTATAGTTTTTATTATTATTATATCATAATAACATATTTAATTTAATGCATTTTAATCGGCCACCTTTATTTATGCTATCGGCAGTTTGCAGAGGTTCAACTTTATTTCCTTCATTGGTATTCAATTCAGTGTGGCTTAATAAATTGTAATTAACTTGGGACTGCAGGTTGTGACATTTGTACCACTTGGGTGTTACTTAAACATTTGAGCCAGCAATAAAAGTGAACTTTTTATAATTTTGTTACATTGTATTTATTGTACTTGGACGTTTACAGTGAGAGCAACTTTTCCGTATTTTACATTTCATAAACATTTTTTATGAACTGACAAATATGCCCCACATAAATGTATTGGAATCTAAAATATACAAAAGAATGTTACAAAGTTTTCCATTTGTAAAGATATAAGTAAAAAGTGAATTGAGTGACCATATTGTTCTAGAATAGGCAGACAGACACATAGACAGATAGATAGATTCAACTAAACTACATTAAACCATCTATAAAAGCATGCTTAATACCATAAAGAATACAAATAATCTTAAAAATTAAAAAGTATGAACACGTGTGACCCCAACCTGCTCCACCCCCCATTCCTAACTTCCCTGCTTATAAGCAAAACAGCTTAACAGAGTGTATTTACAGCATGTAGGCCTATTTTTGTCTGTATACGTGTGTATTTATGGACACACATTTATGTTTATGTTTTTGTGTGTTTATATTTGTGTCTGTTTTTGTGTATTTTGGAAGTGTCTCTATGCGTTTACGTGTGCATGTGTGTTTGTTTGTTTTAATTTATATGCTATTTCTTAAAAAAATTCTGAGAATGTATCATGAATTGAGTGACCATATTGTTCTAGAATAGGCCGACAGACACATAGACAGATAGACAGATTCAACTAAACTACATTAAATCATCTATAAAAGCATGCTTAATACCATAAAGAATACAAATAATCTTAAAAATTAAAAAGTGTGAACACGTGTGACCCCAACCTGCTCCACCCCCATTCCTAACTTCCCTGCTTATAAGCAAAACAGCTTAACAGAGTGTATTTACAGCATGTAGGCCTATTTTTGTCTGTATACGTGTGTATTTATGGACACACATTTATGTTTATGTTTTTGTGTGTTTATATTTGTGTCTGTTTTTGTGTATTTTGGAAGTGTCTCTATGCGTTTACGTGTGCATGTGTGTTTGTTTGTTTTAATTTATATGCTATTTCTTAAAAAAATTCTGAGAATGTATCTATATCTGTATTTGTGTATGTTTTATGTGTGTGTGTCTGTGTGTGTGTGTGTGTGTGTGTGTGTGTGTGAGAGAGAGAGAGAGAGAGAGAGAGAGAGAGAGAGAGAGAGAGCGCGTCTAGTCGCCATGTTTCTCCTTATCTTTCCTGAATCTCACTGAGTGGCGGAGGGCAGATGAGAGAGATTCACCCCGTCACCCCGCATCCACACCATCCTCCTCCTCCTCCTCCTCATCTTCACCCCATCATCATCATCCTCTGGCGGACTTCATCCCGTGGGCAGGACTTACTTTTGAGGAATTATTAATGGGAAAAGGACTATGGAAAACTAAGCGACACTCAATCGGTGCCTTTGGGGAACTTCGCGAAACTCACTTTTTGCGGACATAAACACATTTTATCCATCTTTTCCACACACGTAATGCCTAAATGTCACATTTGGGGGGCGTGTCATGTTGTTTTTGTTTGTTTTGAGGAAAATTCTCTTTCAGGATGAGATCAAAATCTGTTAGCTTGCTAGCCGAACGTCTTTATTAGCCTGATCGTTAGCATCAGTTATATATTAACCCGTTAAAGTTGAACAAACTGGGAATGTTTTTAAGTCTATATACACTTGACGTGGTTTGACACTAGTACTTGTTAATATTAATACACGATTTTTTTTATTTATATGAGAGAAAACAGTTAAGATGCATTGTGTCGCGAGAATGTTGTTAGCTCGTTAGCTTGAGTAGCTACAGAGAAGGCACTTAAATGTATGTAAATTAATATTTACAAAACGCAAGAGATAAATTACAGTTTTACACAAAAGTGCGAGGTCTTTTTTGGATACATGGCTTAAATCGTCCCCCTCATTTGGTGGTTTGTTGGTCAGTGAGTACATAGTACATTAAAAAGATGTAGTGAGAAGTTTTATTAAGGTATGAAATAAAAATTAGTTTTGAGTTTACTGCAGTTTTGTGACTGCATTTTTCTGTGATGATGGGTGGTTTATATTGATAGCTATTTACAGATCCCCTCCAAAGAGTAATCGCGCATTTGTATCTATTTTAATAACATTACACTACATATTTTGGACTGACGTTCGATTTGAACCATGTCTGGAGAAGTGCGTTTGAAAAAGCTGGAAAAACTGATTCTGGATGGTCCTGTCCAGTCCAATGGACAGTGTTGTAGTGTGGAAACTCTTCTGGATGTTCTCATCTGCCTTTATGATGAGTGCATCAACTCCCCACTCAGAAGAGAGAAGAACATTGCTGAGTTTTTGGAATGGAGTGAGTATAATGCTTTAAAAACATGTGTCCTAAAATCAGTGCATTTCATATTTAAACCGTATTAAATCAGTTTATTTCATGCACAGACCATTTTAAATCAATACATTTAATGTTTAAACCCTAGTAAATCAATGCATTTTATGTGTAACCCATATCAAATCAAGGCATTTCATGTTCAAGCCGTCTTAAATCAATGCATTTTATGGTTAACCCATTGTAAACCAGTGCATACCCATATCAAATCTATGCATTGTAAGTCATTGTATTTATTGATTAAATCATCTATGGTACCAAACCTAAGTTCAGTAGATGTTTGGGTTGCAAAGCACTCATAAATAAGGATATTTCACTGAAGTTCATCCAACAAATGTCTTTAAGCCACATTTGGCAGCACTAAATCATAGGTGTGTGTGTGTGTGTGTACAGCCCTGGAAAAGTCAAGTAGCAGCATGCTGTTAAATTCTGAGCCATCATACCTGCACGTTGAGCATGGGGCATGGATTGAAATTACCTCAGAAAGGGAGTATATGATATTAGAATTTGATTAAACAGTGTCACAAACCATTTTGATTTATAAGTACATGTGCTATCGAATATCTCGAAGGGATAGTCGAAAAGTAATGAACGAAATCTACTTCTGCCTGTGGCAGTGTTCTGACACTGAAGGTTGTGCTATTCACTGTCTTCATAATTGCTCAAACTGGTTCCCTCAAGGAAAGGCTATGGCTGTGTAAATAAGGTTGAAAAAGACCCCAGGCTATACGGTGTCATTCTCTATATGGATAACAACACTGCTGACGGCTTTGAAATGTGAAATCTCCCCCCTTGTGTTTTATACAAAGGATTTTTCCAAGCATGGAATATGACGTTGACATGTTTGGTGGTAAAGTTATAAATGCATAAAAGGAATAGTTCACACAAAAATGACAATTCACCCTCAAGCCATTCAAGATGTACATGAATCTTAGTGTTTTTCATGGCAACAGATTTGGAGAGATTTAGCATTACATCAATTGGTCTGCAGTGAATGGGTGCCGTCAGAATGAACCGTCAAAACAGCTGATAAAAACACAGTAATCCACATGACTCCAGTCCATCAATTAATCTCTTGTGGAGCAAAAAGCTGCATGTTTGTAAGAAACAAATTCATCATTAATATGTTTATAACTTTGTATCGTTGCTTAAGGGTCCTCTATTCGTAATATTGCTTCCTCCAGCATAAAAGTCACTTCGTCTGAATCAGGCCAGAATTATCAAGCAGTGTTTACAAGCAAAAACAGTCTGAAACAGTTCTAAACAAACATGTCGGTGGATTTTGTGTGAGAGGACAACAGATGATGAACTGTGTCACTGAAGGAAGTGTTATGGATTATGGAATCACATTTTGGCCAGAAGCAACAGTTTAAAGTTAAAACGCCTCAATGATGGATTTGTTTCTTACAAACACGTAGCTTTTCTTTAACTTTAACTGATGGACTTGAGTGGTGTGGATTACTTGTGATGTTTTTATCAGCTGTTTGGACTCTCATTCTGACGGCACCCATTCACTGCAGAGGATCTATTGGTGAGCAAGTGAAGTAACGCTACACTCTAAAAAATGCTGGGTTAAAAAGGAACAAACCCAGCTATTGGGTTGTTTTGACCCAGTGGTTGGGTTGTTTTGAACCCAACCGCTGGGTCAAAACAACCCAATAGCTGGGTTTGTCCCTTTTTAACCCAGCATTTTTTTTAGAGTGTACATTTCTCCAAATCTGTTCTGATGAACAAACTCATCTAATCTTGGATGGCCCGAGGGTCAATACATTTTCTACAAAATTTCATTTTTGCATGAACTATTCCTTTAATAGCTGTGCTGGGGAGTATTATGAAGTGACCATCATGTGACTACAGTGTAATTGAACATATACAGTGTAATGGGAAAAGTAGTTGCATTGTTTGAGTGTGTTTAATCAGGGGCCTCCTGACCCAGCTTAACTAAAGAATATGACTTTAAACTCGTTACGTTTTTAAGTTGAGCAGGAAATAACTGGAGCTCCACATCACATTCTACTGTGAATGAACATAGTGTGCTGTTTGTTTGTTTATTTTGTGGCCTGACTTGCAACTACCCTGAATGCTTTGAATTGTAAACATTCCTTCCCTGTAAACAGAAGTCCTGACTGATGCACACAGTATATACCAAACAAATGTGGCAGAGCTTGAGAATAATAAACATCCACCGTAACACAATAATACAAAGGATAGATCATATTTGTATGGACCAGAATACAAAGTGCGACTCCTTGCTCTTGAGCTGAGCATATGCTATGTTTTAGGTTAATGCTTTGGGATTAGACACTGTGATTGCATTTTAATTCATTTCTTCTTGTCAGCCTTTCTCAGAATCATTGATGCTTAGATATATAGAAGAGCTTTCCAAGATTATTTGCATATATTCTTCAGGGCTTGGCTACTGCAGTGCTGCAGTAATGGAAGGAATTTGTAGGCTCTTCCGGGAGTTGATTTATTCTTTAGTTATAAAACTTCAATTCTGCAATTTAAAATGCTGTAAACAACTCCCTCTGTTGCATTAGGCTAAAATAATCCTTACACACCTTTCAGCCACAGGTTGGTTGGAAACGATGCCAGAACAAGCTTGAACTCGTGCCCAGATCATCAGCCAGATATGTGTTATCTCTGTCAGGGTACTGGGACGACCACATGCTTCAGATGGGATTCCTTAACTTGGTTATCTGACAGCTGACAGTTCTAGAGATGGTACATGCAATATCCATCACACCAGGCGTCATGGTTTGATTTATAATGTCTGGATGAGAAATACATAATGTGTTCATGCTGAAATGTTTCTGTTTCTGTTGGTGTTGAATAGTCTATTCTAGTCTGGGCTGGTAACTGAAAGTTGTAGTTTCAAACCCTATAAGCTGTACTCATGAGGGAAACATTAACCTCGGGTTACCTCAAATCTGGCATCAAATTATTATAATGTATAATGGGCAAAAAAAGTACAAACTGTATTAGACAAAGTAGGCATTGATACCGTCTGCTTTAACTATTTACTCAAGATAATCAGGTGATTAATGATGCTGATTATTCTTTTTAGAGATATATATATCAGGCATCTTAAAAAATAAAATAAAAGTGTGCTTTTAAACACATCAGTTGTAGGGCTGGGTATCGATTCAGATGTCCCGATTTGATTTCGTTTCGCAAGCTCTCGATTCGATTCTCGATTTTATGATTACATTCAGTGAATATAGTTTTAATACAAATGATATTGCTATTTCTAAAAAATGAACAGTAAACATCAGTTTACAAATGGTGAATTAATAAAAAGAAATTAAGAACCACATGCCTGTATTTTAAACCTATACTTTTTTTTGTATGTGTCCTTTTTTAAACAATAATAGGGCCCTATAAAATGTTCTTAATTTTTCTGGTAATCAGATGAAGGCATAAAACATTAATTTAATTTATCCTAATCAAATGAAAATTAAACCCTTTTATTTTTTGGCAAACAAAGTGCTGCACAACAGAGATTTACTGTTAAAATTAAAAAGAAAACCGATGTGATTATTCCTTTAAAAATAAAGATTTATTAATATTTATTAGCAGTAGTAGCATTGATTCTTAAGACTGCTAAATAGTAATATATTCTGACAGTTTCTTAACGTTAAACTAAACTTTTATTTCGACGGGTTGCCGTGAAGAACTTGCAGCTGGTGTGTATGTGATATGATGGTAGTTTTCTCAAATGAAATGGTAAAATGCTAATGAAGTGACTCTCAGAGCAGCTGGAGATGACATTCGTGTTCATATCATCATATAGTGAGACGGCAGAAGCTGAAAACACCGCGAGCGTCATCCGCGCTTTAGTATGTGTGTAGTAAACAAAACAGTGCGCCGCGCCATCCACCATTCATTCATTGTGGAAATCATGGCGCCTATGCGTGATATCAAATTCTTCCGCAGATTTATAGTATTACTATAACATTTCACCAGAGCATTGCGAATCACGCGTATGGCCATGATAAGCGCTGAATGAATGACAGGCTTTCTGTTGTAACATCGCGCAAGGTAAATAAGGGTGACATCTAGTGGAGAAGACTAATGATAAGATTCACGTTAATCAGATCTTGTTTTAAATGTGTGCTGAAATAAATCCCGGAAAAGAATGATTCGCGGCTTTTGAGAATCAATATCGAATCGATGTCATTTAAAAAAAACAATTAATCGAAAAATCTATTTTTTTGCCCAGCCCTAATCAGTTGACTAATTAGTCATTAGTGTGGTGATTCCATGCTCTCTCTGCTGATTGGAAAGAGGCCTGAAGACTTTTATTTTAAGGCCATTGTAGGAATGTGCAAGTCACAGATGCTGTTCAGGCCCAACTGTTTGAAAGAAAAGGCTGACTCGGTGAACGGTGACTAACAACTACCCTCTGGTATTTGAAGAAGTCCCCCTGTGTAGTGAGTTTCCTCGGACAGCTGGTTTAAATTGACAACCCAGGCAGTTTTATGTGGTTGTCCTGTCACAGCCCCAACTTCTGCTTTTCCAGTGTTCTAGCTTTCATATGTACTGGATGAGTTTATTTATGCAGGTTGGGTTTGCTGTCAGGTAAAACCGGTCTCATATTTTGGGATTAGGTTTGTATTAACTTTGGGAGGTTTCTCGTATTCAAAGGTTAAATCCTCCTCATCACGAGATTTTCCTTTATATTCAGTCCTTACTTGTATCTGTATTATAGCAAGTCAACTCTTGTTTAGGAGTGTCATGCGCTGTGATTGGCAAGACCAATATGATTTTAGGGATTGTAAGAATCTTGTCTGTCCTGAACGGATTGGGTTTAGGACCAGACGTGTTCCTCCATTGTTATTTGCTCTCTCGCAGATGAAAATGCTAGTGTAAACACTAGTAGTTGTTTTTTACATAGTTAAAATCCGTTTGTTTCATGACATTACTGATCTTCAGAAAATCTGGCTGGCTTATGTTTGGAGATCATGTCATTTTTGTCTTTTTTGACCTGACCTAATGTTATGGTCTTGTCTTTTTGAGATTAAAAACACAATTTAAATATTTGATCCCAATAAATTCACACCCTTAATTGTATTAACTTGCATTACACATTATATTGACATCTACAGGTTCTTTTGTTTGTTTATTGATTTCAGATTTTAAACCAATGCTTTTCAAGTTATTTTTGTTGTAGCTTTTAAATTATTGCACCTTAATCATAGTATTTCAGTTTATGTAATGGGTCTTAAATGAATAGTTTTATGTATATGAAGTAACACTACAGACATTGAACAAAATGCAGACATATCACAGTGAAAATGCTCTTGATGTTGGAGTCGAGCAGAGCAGGTTTAAACACGGCATGCGCTCACGAGCATTTCTGAGGTCTTTCTGCAGTCTGGCTTTAAGCGCTTCTTTCCCTCTATGGAAATCGTGTTTTAATGATCCTGCCAGTGTCTTTGCCTTTATATGGTCTCTTGGGTATTGCTGGAGATAGATGTTGTGGTTCATTTGATTTGCAGCTCTGTGTCCTCTTACGCTGGAGACTGTGACAGTGATGTATACACATTGAGCTTTCTGCATTCAGATCTTAAATGAACACCGACCTGTGCGTGCTGCAGTTGTTTTGGACACTTTGGAAACCATGTAGGTTCTTCTATGGAAGGCTTGAATTTTAAACTGTCCTTTATTAATAGACTTTATACACTTTCCCTGTTTGATGTATTGGAGGCCGTGATGGCAGTTCCAGGTGGTCTGTTTTCCATCTGTTTCTAATGCCCTGTAAAAGGATGCCTGACACTGTGGTAACATTTGATAGTCACGGCATTGTTTACATGGAATCTTGCTCATATCCCACAAAGCTGTGTGTGTAGATTTCATATCAACAACTCAGCTGCCTGACATTTTGGCTAATGGAGCTCATCCTCTTGAAGTGATACGTCTTGTTTGCTTCATATTAGGTTATCCATCTCAATGTCCTCTTCATTTTCATCGTGAATTTGTGAAAAAGAATCAGTATATCCTATATCTTACTTGCTTAATATTGTGTTGATAGACTGATAAAATTCTTGGGAGATTTTTGGTATTAACTGATAATCTAATAATTTTGATTGATCATGTTTAGTGAAAATTTTCAAGAAATGAAAATATATACTATATATTTATAGTATATGAAATATTATTATATCAGCATCGGCCATCCTGATTTTTGGGAATCTGCATTGGCTGTGCCACTTATTCTTTACCAGCTAGAGCAATAAGGAATTAGACATTTTGATTGTCACTTGGTTTCTGTTTCTGTTATGACTTTCTGGGTAGTTCCAGTGAAACCTCATTGATCCAAAATCCACATTAAGCCACTATAATTGTCTTACTCATTGTGGATTATTTGTCAGTAGAATATTGTTTCATTGCAATTAGTATGTGGTGTTAAATGACTTGGTCAAATGATAATTCATTGATCAGAGGTTAAAACCAGCAGCCAACCCATATCTTTAACCACTAGGCCACACCAGCCATGAACTGTTATTGCTTTCTGTCATTTTACAGTATTTTTAGTTGCGTGTTTAGAACCTCTTGCTGTTTGTTATTAAAGAAACGGCACACTCTTGCCAAAGGCATGACAGTAAATGCACATCCTAATCAGGTGATTTCAACAGGAACGTGGAATCTGGAGTTGCGTGTTTGACGAGAGTGCTCAGATATACTATATTTTCTCCAGTTGTTTCCATAGAAGTGAGGCAGCACCATTAGTGAAGGATTTCTGATGGGATATAAGCAAATCACTTTGATCGAAAGTTCCTTGACTGTTTTTCTCTCACACATAGAAACAAATTAGATTAGATAACCTCATAAGACTTGAAATGTGTAACAACAATATTGTTGATTACTTAATAGGTGCTGATACATAAAAATGAGCAATCATGTTATCTACTCATGGTTTTGACATCATAATAACATTATAATTTCTGAACAAGCAACTTAGTTTACATAAATGGTCTGAGTGATCTGTTTATATGATATTTTGTGGAAATGTTTAATGAGAACAAGCAATATTTTTGTTCATTTTTGGGTGAACGGTTCGTTTAAAAACCAAGTATGTTTGTAACTTCAGTATTTTGGAGCCTGTTTTGGTTTCAGCTAACTACGTCAGTTTTTAATTTTTCAGGGTTAACTGAACAGCACAAGGCTCAGTGTCTGTACAAGAGACTGGATTTAATGCAGTCCAAGTGAAAAGAGATCTGTCTTTGAGTCTGATTGTGAGTGTCTGAACTCAATGTGACATTCATTGACCAATATAGAGTTCATTCATACGCAGCACACAGCATTGTAGCAGTACGATCTTACTTCAGTAGAACGTAGAAGCCTTTCCTCTCTTTATCATACAATGATTTATAGTTTACCCGAAACTTACTGCGATCATTTATGGACTCAAATACATTTCTTAAGTTTTGGAAGGAAAAATGTAAGTGGAGTTTGCCAGTGCAAATCTTGCCACATGATGCAAAGGTGTTCTGAGTGGTTGCTAGGTGGTTAATTACTCATTACTCAAGTCAAAAAATCCCACCCCCAATTCTTTATGATATTCTGGACATGGATAGACTGCTTAATCTAAAAAAAAACTTTGACTAACTGGCATTAATTTAACACATTTTAATAGTTCTTATAGCCTTATTATTTGGCTTAAATGTTTCAAATTCAAATGTGTTAATTGCTCTTGGCCATTTGGGATGGTGATCACATGCATCCTTGAGTTGAGTGCGTCCTCTTCACAGGTTTCAATAGAAACTCCTTGCGCATCTTCTCAACCACCACACAGTAAATCATATTCTGTGTGCTTCATACAATAATGTTGGCTAATAATTGATTCTCATTGCTAAAGGTAGTCGTCCTGCAGTAGCCCCATACTTGTTGATGATGTTTTGTGATTGTACACAATCATGATTTGCAGTCTATTAGATACAAACCTCACTGTCAGGATCAGTCCCAATAACAGGGTAAATGGCAAATTTGTGCTGCCATTCATGATTAAACCAACACTTCTGTGACAAGACTTTTCTATCTATTTAGATGTCAGGGGAAATGAAAATATAGGCCTGTAAGCTGCTCATTATCGCAAAATAAAACCTCTCGTACCACCTTGAACAGGTTTATTTTTTGATAATGGCAGGATGACTGTATTATCCTTCTACTTGCCAAATAAGTGGACATGAAATATTGATGGAGTTACTTTATCACGTGAGGAAAACAAGTCACAGTGGCCAATTTTTTTAGCTCGATCCCTGCAAGACTTTATTGCAGAACACCATCAATCTGTCCTTCACACCTGCTCAGAGATGCCTCTGAACTTTTGACTTGTGTGAATGTGCTGTAACTGAAACTGCTACAAAATCCCTTCGAGAAGATCAGGCCCTTATGGCTCACCATCATGAAGTGATGGATTTGAACGTCTTCAGTAATAACCTCTTCTCTCTCTCTCCACAGCCAAATCGTTCACCTCTAAAGTGAAACAGATGCGATTGCACAAGGAGGACTTCGAGATCCTGAAGGTCATTGGGCGAGGAGCTTTCGGCGAGGTAAGCGTCCGTCTTGTGTTGAGATTCTGGTGAATGACTGGATCTGAATTCCCATACTATATAGCAGTGTCTCTCAAGTGATGGGTTGTAACCCAAAAATGTTCTGATAAGTTTGTTGTTGTCTTTTTTTTATTTTTTATTAATAAAATGTTGTGCAATGAACAATTTTGGTATTATGCTGGGTTGCCATTTGATGTCTAAAATGTCTTAAAATAGTATATTTTTATGTGGAGTTTAGAACTTTCCAGTGCTTTTACCAGTGAACTACATATTCTACAAAATGTAAAAGTGTGTGAATTGGGATGCAGCCAGTCAGTCGTTTAAGTGCCAGAGAAGTGGCCAGGACCCTTGTGGTGCCATTGTTGTTTTTTTGGGCAAAGAATTCATTCATGACCCAAAGGCATGCCAAGTTATTTTACATGTCATAAACTGAGTAAAGTACAGTTTGTTACCCTGTGAAAATGTGAAAGTGTTTAACCTGAGCTAACAGTTTAGCAGCCAAAATCAACCTATTTTCACTCTTGCATATTTTATGTTGGCAGAACGTGACACCGTCACCATCTGCAGAATGAGAGTTACACTGAGCAGATGCTGATGGTTGTCATGCTCTCTGAACGGAGCTCTTTGTAGTTGTCAAAGGGTTGTCTCTGAGTTAAGGTTGACCTGTCACCCTGGCCGCCCCGTGCCGCCCTGATCCTGGTTTCATAAAGACACTGACAGGAGTCAGGCTTAAATCTCTCATGAGAGCTCTGGTTCTTCTCTGATAAGTGATTAATTGATGATTGACATTAATTTAATCGATTATTGATTGTTGATTGATCAGTTTCATAGCTGGGAGACATGCATACATGCGCTTTCGTCTTGTACCCTCATGCCATTAACAATTGTTTTTAAAAAAATACATGTAACTTTCTTATTGAAAAATTATTTTTAAGTTACATTTTCAGTGATGTGTTTCCATTTAAGGAAAGTTAGTTAATTAGTGATAAATTAGGTTATTTTGTACTACAGCAGTGGTAATAGTAGAGGACCAAAGTTAAAGATGCCAAGGATTCAATAATCTGTGTTCAGAAAATCAGTGAATCAGAGTGAATAACAGATGTTTTTGCTGTTGCTTTTCCCCCTGGTTTTCATTGCCTTTTTCATTTGAATTGCTCGCTCTTGTCCACCCACATATCTCGTACTGTTGACAGTGTTATGACAGAAGTTAAATGTCATTTTTGAGTAATAATTAGTTTTCCAAAACTGTATTTCAAAGGCTGCATTGTGGGAGTTTGACCCATGTAATGCTGTGTGTTTCAAGGGCACAATGCCAGTGCTCTGAATGCTATTTTTAAAGTCACTTTCCAGTCCCTGGGTCCTTTCGATCAGATATTTTCTTAAACTTGTAACAGATAGTATAACTTCTCTTGGCAACCGTAAACTGAATTTTTAAGGTCCGTGCCTTTGGGATTTGGTTAATTTTGAATCCCTATCAAGTGTATGGAAGAGAGAAGAGTGTGATTTCTGTCTGGAATAATGCTCGTATCCCGGCTCGGGTTGGAATGTGCAGACCTCTCAATGTGTGCTTGTTTTGGCTTATTTAATCGCAGGGAGTGAATCACACCGTTGTTTCGCTTGGACACCTTAAATTCAAGACAAATATATGTCCATTCCACTTCCCTTCCTTTCCCCATGATGCTTACACTTAAAAGTCCGGACCAAACTATTTTATTGATCCATTATGTGCCATTTAGGTGAATGTGTTTGGATCAATGTTCTCTATAATTTTGTTTTTTCTCAGCAAAACCTATTATTATATATAATAATTATATGCTATATATTTTATATATTATTTAAGATTAAATATTTAATAAATCATTATATATATATATATATAAATAATAAATGTATTTTACATTGTCCTGTGTATATATTTAAAATTTTATGTATTATAAATGCTAAAATTATATAAAAATTATATACACTGGACAAAATTCAAATATTGTTCACAAATCTGTCTTAATCTGTGTTAGTGAGCACTTCTCCTTTGCCGAGATAATCCGTCCACCTCACAGGTGTGGCATATCAAGATGCTGATTAGATGGCATGATTATTGCACAGGTGTTGTAACACCGATTTAGACAGATTTGTGAAAAATATTTGAGAGAAATAGGCCTTTTGTGTACATAGATCTTTGAGTTCAGCTCATGAAAAATGGGGGCAAAAACAAAAGTGTTGCGTTTATAATTTTGTTCAGTGTATGTATACACTATATTGCCAAAAGTATTGGGACACCCCTTTCTAATAAACAGGGTTGACTACTTTAGTAATTTCTTAGTACAAATCTTAATGTAAAAGCATATAATGATATTCTAGGGAATTGTGTGCTTCTAATATTATAGCAACAGTTTGGATAGGACCCTTTTCTATTCTAACATGACAATGATTGATTCAGTCAGTGTGGAAGAACTTGACTGGTCTGCAGAAAGCAAAGTCCTAATCCCAATTGAACACCTCTGGTGTGACTTTAAATGCAGACCTTGAGACAAAAACTCATCACTAATGACTTGTAAATATGGGTGCAGTCATTTTAGACACTTCCAAAATTGTTGCAACAAAGATGGAAATACAATTTTTAAATACATGAATTATGTTTCCATCTTTGTTTCCATACTTTTGTTTAATATAATGTATGTACAAGTCATTGGTGTTTGGTGATGTACATAAATGCATAAACATGCCTATATACATAATAAAAAGTGTCTTGGGTCAGATTTCATAGTCATAGTTCATAGTGTGAGTTATTAAAATCGGATTTGGACTCTCAGTGAAATTGCCACTGGCTTGAGATCGAATTGCTGCCAGCTGATTGTGTTTTTACTTGTTGAGCCATGAGTTAGCATTTTTGTGAAGAATGCTTTCTTCCCTCAGTACGAGTTATATTATGATATCATGTGTGTGTGTGTGTGTGTGTGTACACCCATAGTAACCTGACCTGCCCTGTAACTCAAGGTTTACACTCCACTGTAGAGCTGCACGATTAATCGTTAAAAGATCGCGATCTCGATTCAGACAACCACACGATCTTATTTCTAAATGACAACGATTCTCCCGTGTCTAATAAACCTTTGACAAAGTCTTACCGGATCATTCAAATCTCTGTTCGTACTGCCGCTGACACACAGAGTAGTTGCCATGTTTGGTTAAGAAACCGCTTCACAAACAGTCTTTTCAACTACGCAGTATTATTTCTGTCCTACAGTCATTCATATTATCACAGAAATACTGGGATGAAAGTTTATAATTCAGATATAAACATTGTTGTCTATGGTAGCGCGACCAAAATCCAAGTTTGAACGTAACTGTCACATAACATTTGTTTGTCGATTGCTTTTTTTCGCCACTAGGTGGTGAAAAGTGACTTAAAAAATTTATAATTGAGTGAATCATTTATTCAAGAGAATCGTTCAAAAACGCTGATTCATCCAGTAGGTTTATGAGTGAGTCGTTGAATCATTGATTCAAACAACTTTTTCATAATTTTAATATTAAATAAATTATATTTTAAATACATATACACTACCAGTCAATTTTTTTTATGTTTTTAAAAAAATCTTAAAGAAGTCTCTTCTGCTCACCAAGCCTGCATTTATTTGATCCAAAGTACAGCAAAAACAGTAAAATTATGAAATATTTTTACTATTTAAAATAACTTTCTATTTTAATATATTTTAAAATGTAATTTACTCCTGTGATTTCAAAGCAACATTTATCTGAAATAGAAATCTTTTGTAACATTATAAATGTCTTTATCATCACTTTTGATAAATTTAAAACATCCTTGCTAAATGGAAAAATTTACTCAAGTGTTTTAAATATTGATAATAATAAAATGTTTCTTGAACAGCAAGTCAGCATATTATAATGATTTCTGAAGGATCATGTGGCTCTGAAGACTGGAGTAATGATGCTGAAAATTCAGCTTTGATCATAGGAATAAATTGCATTTTAAAATATATTCAAATAGAAAGTTATTTTAAATGGTAAAAATATTTCACAGTATTACTGCTTTTGCTGTATTTTGTATCTTACTGTTCAAAATCTTTTGACTGGTAGTGTATATTAAAATGTTAAATTCATTCAAATTAATTAAACACTTTTAAATAGACTGCAGTAATAATATTTTGCCACACATTATTCTGTTTAGTTCAGAATTGTGGGAGAATCGTGATCTCTATTTGAGACAAAAAAAATTGTGATTCTCAATTCATCCTGAATTAGTGATCGACCGATATTGATATTTTATACCCGATACCAATTATTTGCATGTTTATGTGCACGATAACCGATATGCAGAACCGATATTTCTTTACTGTTGTAAAGTAAATAAATTACTAAGTAAGTCCATACTTCACTTTGGTTTTTTCTCCTTTCAGTCATTTTAAAAAAAGTGTTGAAAATTAGCAGTCTTTCATGTTAAATTTAATCTTCATATTACAGCAATGAAAAAACATTTTATTTAAAGCATCAGCAGCAACACTAATATTAACAATAGGCAAAATAAATGTAGAAAGTCTAATGTTTTCAAATGGAGAAAATAAATAAAGAAAAAGAGTCATATCAACTTTAAACTACAGTTTTAGTAGGTTTATAAGCTGTTTAATAGGCTAAAGAGTGAAGAATAATTCACTGGATAATGTTAATTCACAGAATAATATTCTCTGGAATATTGAAATATAACAAACAAAACATTGTATTTTATTGCATTTCTCAACTGGCATGTTATATCAGAATTACTAATAATGTTTTTGTCGTTCTAGATTATGAAATGCCTGCTGACAGCGCAGTTTATCTATGCATTTACACAGAACTATACTCAAACTGCGATCGCTCGTAGAGATAATAAATAATTAATTTCCATAGAGTTGTATCTATTTAGATGTTTTTTTAGCAAAATAATGGCGCTATAGTAAATATTAATACAATTTAGGGTGTTTTAAACAAGTGAATCTTGTTAAAAGTTACATGCGGTGGCCGTGCTGGACCATTTCCTGAGCATCAACCACATCAACCCGGTGAGTGAACAACAATATGAAAGCGGCTTCACTAATGATGAGCATAGACAACAGACAGAGAATTAAATTTACCGTTTTTATTTCCAACATGCGCTCATTCATGGCTGTATTATTTAATTAATGCAAAGTTACGTCTTTCTTGGGAGAGGACTTGACGGATTATCTTAGCCTATGTGACTCCGACTTCATGAGATGATGAGCATATAGACAACAGAGAGCGAATTAAATTCAGCACTTTTATTTCCAACATGCGCCCATTCATGGCTGCATATTATTTAATTCACGCAAAGTTACGTCTTTATTGGGACAGGACTTGATGGATTATCTTACGTGACTCTGTGAGTTCGTCTCTATTTCTTCGAGCCAAGCTGCACAAACTGCATATCAGGCATTTATGTAATACATCTAATTTGTGCATTAATGGCTGTTATGTTAAATAAAGTTTACTAACTACAGTAAATTAAGTATCTGTGTACGCCGTTGTTGTTTCCCCTCAGACGCGCTGCAATGGTGATCCTGCACGCAATTCTCGCGTTTATCTGTGAATCCGATATTACAAAACCGATATCCGATTATTGTAAAATGCTTAAATATCGGGAAAAATATCGGTAAACCGATATATCGGTCGATCTCTATCCAGAATCGTGCAGCTCTACTCCACTGTCACTGATAACCACTTGTGATCTGGAAATCTAGATGGCACATAAACACAAAGCGGCTTATAATCGTATCAGGACCTCTAGAAATCCCCTCATGCTTATTTAATAGAGGAGCTGGGTGTCAGATCTCTGTGTGTTTTCTGGTGCGTTACAGGTAGCAGTTGTAAAGGTGAAAAGTTCAGACAAGGTGTTTGCCATGAAGATCCTCAACAAGTGGGAGATGCTGAAAAGAGCAGAGGTACAAACACTCTTGAGTCTTTCCATCTCAAAATGAATTAGTTTGGTGAGGAAAGCTTAGTTGTGAGTGTTTTGTAAACAAATTTGTCGCCTTATTTCCAGACAGCATGTTTCCGGGAGGAGCGTGACGTGCTGGTAAATGGAGACTGTCAGTGGATCACCAGACTGCACTACGCCTTTCAGGATGACAACTTCCTGGTAGGCTTTTGCCTTCTATCTATCTGTCTGTCTGTCCGTCCGTCCGATGTTCTATCTATCTGTCTGTCTGTCTGTCGTTTTATGTCTATCTATCTCTGTCTGTCTTTTTATGTCTGTCTGCCTGTCATTTTATATCTATCTGTCTGTCTCTGTCATTTTATATCTGTCTGTCATTTTATGTCTATCCATCTGTCTGTCTGTCTGTCATTTTATATCTATCTTATCTATCTGTCTGTCTGTCTATTGTTCTGTCGTTCTATCATTCTATTCTTTCTATCATTCTGTCTATCCTCCTGTCTATCTGTCATTTTACCTATCGTTCTGTCTAGCTCTATATCATTCCATCGTTCTCTCTATCGGCGGCTCTAACTTTCAGTGTACAATTCTGGGCCTGCACATTTCTGTTGTATCTGGTGTCTGTCTGCTTTTACACTATTTAGTTCTGACATGTCTGTCTTCTGCAGTACCTGGTGATGGACTACTATGTGGGTGGTGACCTCTTGACTCTTCTCAGCAAGTTTGAGGACCGTTTACCAGAAGACATGGCTCGATTCTACCTGGCTGAGATGGTTCTAGCAATCGATTCTGTGCATAAGCTCCACTATGTCCACAGGTGAGACCATTCTGCTCACGAACCAGCCTGGTTTTACATGTCCTTCTCCCTTTTTTTTTTAATTTTTATTTCTGCTGCTCGACATTTGGAGCAAATTGCATGGAAATGATTTGTGTGTGCCGGTCTGTGGGAATGTGAATTCTTTTGGGAACGCAGGAAGGGACTAAATTGTTCTGATTTCAACAATCACAGAGGACATTTCAGTGCTGCCTTTGCTTGCTAATTTGCTATTGCGTTCTACACACGGAGCGCACACTTTCAGGGATAACATTCGGAGGCGCCTGGGCTCTCAGATGTGGCTCCAGTGGAATTTATTTATTCTGGTCTTACTAATTGCAGGCTGCTGCTGTGGAGCTCAGCAGAGGTCTGTGCGCCATACATTATGCACTCTGGGAACTCAAATAAGGACTGTAATTACAGGTTTAGCCACCTCGGTTGTGAGAGATTTGTTTTGGACAATTTAAAAGGGGTACGATACTGTGGGCAACTCCCTTCCAAAGAAGGGAAAATAGACAAAGTTCCATTTTTACCCATGTTTAAGTGCGTTGTCCAGTTTTGGACAGATTTACTCAAGCTTGAAATGAATAGTTACATAACCTCATCCATAGTAAAACCCAAAGCTAAACTTTAGGTGCTGAGTAGACCGGATTGACAAAGGGGCGGGCCTTCCATTGTTGTCATTTATGCAGGAAGTTGCCTATTTGTGGGCCAGGCTGTGAGTTTCCTGTCATTCTGTCCCTCATGCTGGATGCTTTACAGTATCACACAAGTTTTGCTGAGTGATTTTAATCTCTCAAGTGCTTATTATTCACTGTTAGAATATAAATGCATGTTTTTCCCCTGCAGCAGCGTGCTTGAGTTGATGCGCTCCATCTGCATTCCTGCTGTCCAGTTAAAGCTGTTTGCGTTTGAGTGGTAGTCAGCGCTCACACCATATGTTCAGTGATAAACTGTGACAAGTTTTGGCCAAGACCGCTGTTCCTCTTATCTTACATCTCTCTTATGTGAATGCACTCGCATGGCTGCGCTGGAGTTTTCATGGTGTGATTAGGAAGAATTTGTGTTTTTGGTTCCATATTTGGAGTTTTGTGTTAAATATATCTTATCGACTGAAAATAAGTCAACAGAAAATTGAAACTGACCCCATGTACTTTCTTAACACAAGTTTCTGGTCTTACTGTGCACAATCGTCCGTGCACATTTTTCCAAATACAAAATGCAATTTTTAAACATAACTGGTTTGCCTTTAAAATGATTGTCCTTTTGTTTTTATACTCCTCCCCTCAAACCACCTGTCACAAGGATAAAATTAAGTCCCACTCTATTTTTTTTTTGTAAAGTCCCTTTACAAAGTAAATTGTTGAAAACATTATTTCATTTTGATAGCATATCATAATAAATAAATTTTTCATAGTAATTTTGACTGTCTGACCATTTCAGCTATTTGTTTTCCATTAAAATTGTCTGTGTGGAATGTTATACATTTCAGATGTGGAATTGGAAGGAATATGTTTTTTATGACATACATAATTTCTCAGAAAGAAAGAAAAAATAAATAAATAAATAAATGAAAACACCTTAATGTTACTATGGAGAGTATGTATATACAGAGTATGTATGCCCTCAATCTTGAAAACAAATTTCTCAAATGTTACATATGCATTATATGTTACCCAAATATAGAGATTCACAATTAAAAACAATCTCTACTTCAAAAACAGCTTCCAGATTCCTTTTAATCTCTTGCCAATATGGGGTTAATTTCTGACACCCCCAAAGAGTCCGTTTCTATTTCAATGTGGATAAACTACAAAAGGTAAACGTCAGCTGTATGGATGCTAGGGCTGGCAATATCGATTTCTTAATTTTAATAACAAAGTATCAATGAACATTTATTTGTAGCATGCCTACCATAAAATATTTACAATAAGCTTTGGCCTTTGTTACTTTTAATATGAAACAAGGTCGCAAATTTTGATCTGTTAATTTTATCACAAAACAAATGTCATATTGTCATTCTTTAATGTGAACTTTTGACCTTTGACTAGATGTCCATGTGGCTATAGACTCACTTGCCTTCCAGTTAATAGCAGTTTATTGTGATGTTGTTTCAAAACAATCCAAATATAGAGTGAAAGTGTCACCGTTCTGTTTCTTTATAAGGATAAATGTGAATAGTTGCTTGTTCAGCTCCTGTCGACTGGACTCTGTGTCTGTAAGCTGAGCGCACGCAGTGTTGACCACTGCACCGACCTGTTGACCTGAGATCAGCGCTTCAGCTCCCACATTCATTCCATATGCACACAGGTTTGTGACACGCAGTCCAGCCCTCTGAACAACCAGCAGCAACCATCTCCTGAATGCAGGGTATTTTGAGCGCCTCCCCTCAGCGTCTAGCTATGAGCGAGTCTGGCCAGCGTCTGAGAGACGTATAATGCTCATATTCCTCTGAGAGCCCAGCGGCGTGTCTGGGATTTTGACTCCTCATTGTCACTTCTGAGGCTCTGACTGCCATACCACTGCCATCTGCAGTCTGGCTCGTCTCTGATCATGTGAGCTCCTGTGGCTTCACTCTTATTGGTGGTTGATGCATCGATTTGCTGCTCATTTACATAAAGTTTTCATTATGTTGACCACATTTACTCATGTTGCCTGAAATCACTACATTTGAGTGAAATTCTCTCAACTAGCTGTTAGGTTGATTTCTTTTGCACTGCCGTCATGGCTGTTTTGATCTGGACAAAGATTTCACAATCAGCTAAAGCCAGTAATAAATAGGGCTGGGTATCGAGTTCGATACTTTTTAGGCACCGACCGAATTGCCTTGATACCATCGAGTATCGAAAAACGTCTCGTCGTTCTGTACCAAATTTCGATACCTAAGGGGTTAATCTCATCAGTGTCAGTGAGCCAATAAGCCTGCAGCACTAGTCGGTGTGTTCGACTAGAAGAGGTCTGCTCTCTTTAGCTCTCGTGGTTAGGGCTGTGTATCACCAGCAAAGTCACGATACAATATGTATCATGATACAGAGGCCACGATACGATGCGTATCACGATACGGGACTGCACTGAATTTCATCTCCGCAGAATTGAAACATCGTTGTTTCTAAAGGAAATAAAGCCACAGCTTCACTGTTAATAGAGAAACATGGCAAAACGGTGGTAATTCATACATACACAGCCTCGCTCTCGCCCGCTCTTTCTCTCGCTATCTCTCATAAATGATCACTTGATGAATTACACTTTTCTGAGAATAGAATATTGAAGTGGAGATCGTTAAACTGCAAGCTAAAACTAAAACCAGTATTTTCAGAAAGCAAGCGCGTTTATCCACAGTGGAGAGAGAGAGAGCGCGCATGCACCTGGTTGCCAGGTTGACAAAGATAAGTAGCACACTTAGCAGATATTTCCGTATTGCGCAAGTGTGAAGCTCTGTTTCGGGGATTACGTCTCTTTATATCAGGCAACCCAGTTGTGTTCCTCTGCGGCCAGATTAAACCTTGTTATAGCCTATATATTAGTGATGCGCGGATGAGCTAAAACGTCACCCGAATCCGCAGCTTCAAATAAATTATCCACCCGCCAACCGCCCGCACCTGTATTTTTGTCTGATTTAGATAACCGCACCCGATCATCACATTAGGGTTCGTACGGTCATGAAAAACCTGGAAAAGTCATTGAACAGCAATTTCCAGACCTAGAAAGTTTTGTAAAAATAAATAAACTCAAAAAGTTTTTGAAAAGTCATCAAAATCTATTTCACAAGTCTCTGTATATTATGTTTAATCAGATCCTGAATTTCGTTGCGGGATTGCGCATACATCGCATTACTCATTCCCACAGCTTTCGACTTTAAAATGAGGGAAATTACTGCAAAACCTTTATTCAATATAGTGTGTAGGTTAGATGAGTAAATAAATCCACACAAACCATCAGATAAAAACAGCGTAAATGATTCAGCTGTACCAGGTCTTCTCTCTTTGACTTTCACTTCACATCGACGCATCTAGAGCTGCTGCACTCTGCGATAGAAGACTTTAGCTCGCGTTTTCGGGACAGTTGACATAATTGTCAATTGCCTAATCGGTCATTGTTGCATTGTCACAATTTATTATTTTGACGTCTTTTTAACCCTCTGGGGTCTGAGGGTGTTTTGGGCCCTGGAGAAGTTTTGACATGTCCTGACATTTGTGCTTTTTTCAGTTGCTAATAAACATTTTAATGACTAAGTTTAGTAGCACCATAATCAGCACAAACTGGGCTACAATAATATGTGAGCAGCATGTATGTATGTGATTGTGTTTTTGAGAAAACAACGTTTATGCGTGCTTAGTGAAAAACTAAAATTTTAAAGTCACTGAAATAAGGCCATAAAACACATACAGAACATTGGACTATTGAGAACAGATCTTGAAGTCTAGAATTTTTGCATCAGAATGATGTGAAAATCATCTTGTTTACTCACTCACAGAAAACAATATATTGATTTAAATTTTCTAAGACACTTTTTGTGTAGAAAAGGAATATGCGAGGGGGCGTGAATGGTCATGTATAATGAGTGATTCACACCTGAGAAGACAAAGGCCTGCATAATGAGCTGCATAATGAGCTGCATAATGAGCTGCATAATGAGCTGCATAATGAGCTGCATAATGAGCTGCATAATGAGCTGCATAATGAGCTGCATAATGAGCTGCATAATGAGCTGCATAATGAGCTCTCAGGTGTGTGACTGAGAGGGAATTGCTACAAGAAATAATGAGGAAAAAGAAATGTATCTATTTTTTTGTTTGTAGTTTATTTAGAATATATATAACTATCACATCATTTTGGGAGTGTGTGCATCACATGGTCTTACTGTTAATAGAGAAACATGGCAAAACGGTGGTAATTCATACATACACAGCCTCGCTCTCGCCCGCTCTTTCTCTCGCTATCTCTCATAAATGATCACTTGATGAATTACACTTTTCTGAGAATAGAATATTGAAGTGGAGATC